AGCAGCACCCCACCTGGCTTGTGAGGTCACACCCTCTGTCTCCTGGGGGCGGGGGCACCGAGTTCCAGCTCCCTCCCTCTCCTGAGACAGAGGGTCTCCAGGGGGACAGACGAGAGGGGGACAGACGGCACAGCCTCCTCGAGCCCCCCAGCCTCTGCCCTGCAGCCTCACCTCCACGTGCAGCTGGAGGCGCCCTGTGAACTGTCCCCTGGCCCAGGAGGCCATGCCCCACCCTGACCTGGTCCCCAGGTGTCTCGACTCTGGGTTCCAGTCTCAGAGTTCGTCCAGGAGTCGGGGCAGCACGGGTGACAGAGCAGCTGTGGGGCAAGAGCGTCCACCCAGCACGGGGCTGGTGTGCTCTTCATGTCCCTAACAGAAACACGAGAGAGACTCATGGGGGGACTGGTCGTGAAATCAGTGGCCATGCACGAACGGAGCGCTCCGTGGCCGTGGATGACGATTTCAATGTCTTTTTTTAAAATATTTTTTTAGTGGTCCATGGACCTTCATTTATTGATATGTGGTGCTGAGAATCGAACCCAGGGCCTCCCACGTCAGGGAAGCGCTCCACATCTGAGCCACAACCCAGCCCCAAATGCCGCTATGACACGTGATCCTCCGTCACTAAGACACGGTGTTCAACGGCGACAGCAGAAGCCCCATGCTGGGTGGCTCTGTGTAAACCCAGCAGAAGGAGAGAGGCACAGGGGACCCTGGCGCCACCCAGCACCCTCTGCGAGGGCAGATGGGAAAGGAGGAGTGGGACTTCCTGTCCAGGGAGCAGAGGTTTCTAATGAGGCTCCCGGAGGGAGGAGAGACCTCAGCAGGGTCAAGGGGGCCTTTCGTGTTGCCCTCAAGGAAGAAAGGGACCGTTTCCTTGGATTGAACCCGGGGTGCTCTATCCCTGAGCCACATCCCCCGCCCCCTTCAAAATATTCCACTTAGGCGCTGGGGATGTGGCTCAAGCGGTAGCGCGCTCGCCTGGCATGCGTGCGACCCGGGTTCGATCCTCAGCACCACATACAAACAAAGATGTTGTGCCCGCCAAAAAACTAAAAAAAAAATAAATGTTAAAAAATTCTCTCTCTCTCTCTCTGTCTCTCACTCTCTCTTTAAAAAAAAAAAATATTCCACTTAGAGACAGGGCCTCGCTGAGTGGCTGAGGCTGGCTTTGAACCTGTGGCCCTCCCGCCTCAGCCTCCGGGGTCTCAGGGGTCACAGGCGTGCCCACCATGCCTGGCCACTGTCCGTTTCTGAGGGCTGCTTTGGGTTCTGGGGGCATGGTGGGCCTGGCCGCTGCTGCCCCACTGTGTGTTCGCTGCCACCTCTAGTCCGCGTGTGCCACCGTTTGTCATCTGGTCATCCATCGGCGTCCACTTCTCTGGAGCATCTCATGGGCAGACACCGCGTCCCCACTGCCCTGAGTTCTGGAAAAGGGTCAGTGACCCGCAGACGCTTGAAGAACCAGACCATGGCGCACCTCACCCCCAGGCAACAGGCGGGTTCACTAGCCCAGCTCGGTGGACGAGGGGCCCGGCTGCTGCTGGTCCTGCAGGGGACGTCGCCGCTGGTGGCCGCCCCAGGGCAGGTCTGGCTGGGTTCCAAAGGTGGCTCTGCTCAGACTCTGAGAAGCAGATACCGAAATGTGTCATCGTAGGATTTGCTTCAGAATAACACGTGCTGTCGGGTCAGAACCAGCAGCCGGGGACCGGGGACAGCGGTGGGGACGAGGGGTGTGCAGGGCGCCAGGGCTGCGGAGCGGCTCCTGAACACCTCCCCCACGGACCTCCTCCACCCAACGTCAAAGTGGTCCTGCCCCAGGGACCGGCCCGCAGCCCCCAGGCCCACCTCTGGGCCCAGCCAGCTGAGCCCCCCAGGGTCAGCCTCCACAGAGAAGGGAGACTCCTCCTGACGAAGCCGCACCCTGCGCTCCCGGGGAGCCCCCTCAGCTGCCTTCCCCGGTGGCTGCAGAGGGGTCTTTGCACAGCACCCCCCACCGGGCAGCTGCTGGGGTGGGGCCTGCGCCTGGTGCTGAGTTCTGTGTCTGGGGTACATCCAAACTCGCTGCACCGCGACTCCCCCGGGACTCGGGAACAAAAGCCCCCGTCTTCTGCAGCCACCGTGTCCTAGAGTGGGACCTTGAAGGTCACGTGAAGGTCACGTTTCCCGGGGGCGGACATACCGAAACCATTTGTCAGAGGGTCGGCTTTCCTCGCAGCTAATCTCCCCAACAGCTGGGCGGGTGCTGTGTCCAACTGCTTCCCACGGCGGCCGCGGGGCTGGCGGCCCGGGCCAGCGGCAGCTGCCGCAGAGCTGGGGAAGGCCGCCTGGGCCAGGCCGCAGCGCCCCACCCTGCGGCGCCCGCACCCTGGGCTCCGGGGCCCGTGGCCCTGCCTGGGTCTGCAGGCGGGTCGCGGCGGTGTGACATGCAAGCGGTGCAGAGATGGCCCTGTGTGGCCCCTCCTGTGCTCCCCCGCCTCGTGGCCAGCAGTGCTTCCCCGAGGGCTGAGAGGCCTGCTCAGGTGGGCGCGGGGCCTGGCCTGCCTAGGTCCCCACCCCTGCTCTGTCCTGCAGTCGCCTTGCAGAGGGTCCTGGGCCCACGCCAGGTCCCCGGTGCCTCTCACCCCTTCTGCTTCAAACCACCCCCATCCTGGGGCTTGCTACTGTCATATTGAACATCACGTCTTGGTGGCAGACGATCACGCGTCATAAGGACGTTTGAAATCGTCATCCACGGCCACGGAGCGCTCCGTTCGTGGATGGCCACTGATTTCACGACCAGTCCCCCCATGAGTCTCTCTCGTGTTTCTGTTAGGGACACGAAGAGCACAGCAGCCCCGTGCTGGGTGGACGCTCTTGCCCCACAGCTGCTCTGTCACCCGTGCTGCCCCGACTCCTGGACGAACTCTGAGACTGGAACCGCAGAGTCGAGCTATTTCACAATCGCAGGTTCAAGGCTCTGCGCGTTTGCAGGTCGGAGCGGCTGTGTGCAGACCCAAGGCCGCGCGCTCCGCAGTCTGGGTAAACACTGACCCGCCGCCCTCCCGCTCCACAGAGAAATGTGCTGGTAATTTTCCTATGAAGCAGGTCCTTCCCCTGGGTGTTCTCACCGGGGAGTTCGCGTTTCACGGTCAGTTCTTGGGAGGCCCCTGGAAAGCTGGAAGCCCGGGTGGCGGGGAGACAAGAGCTGGGGTCCACGGCATGCGCCCAGCTCCCACAGGGGTGCAGCTGGGGTGGGAGCCCGCGGGCGGCTGAGGTCTGGCAGACGCGGGTGCCCTGGTCTGGGGCGCAGCCGTGGGGCCAGGGTGAGGTGGAAGGGGGTTGGTGGGACGTGATGAGCAGGATGCAGACGAGACGGGGAGCAGTAGAAGGGCTGGGGGTGTCCAGCCCCCAGGCCAGGACCTGGGGCTGAGGACGGGGTAATCCAGCAAGGTCAGGGCCCTGAGGACACGTGGGCATCTCCTGAACAAAATGGTTCCCGGTATTTACCAGAACGAGAGCTCGTAGGTGGGACCGGAGCACTCAGCCCGTCTGCCTGACCCCGCTGGGCCCTTGGCTCTGGGGCCTCCCTTGACCCGTGTGACCTCTGTGACCTGGCGAGAGATGGGACAGTGGCGCTGTCACTACTGTGGGGGGCAGCACCCCGGTTCCGGTCCACCTGCACCTCAGAGGTGTCATCTGCCAGATGTGATCAAGGGGACTTGGATCCCTGGGCACGGCCCAGTAAGCCCAAGGACCCCGAGGGACAGGCCAGGGGTGACGGAGACAGACGGGAGCCAGGCGTCCACAGGCTGTGGTGCCAGGCCCTGCCAGCAGGCGGCAGAAGCAGGAGAGGGCAGGGGACAGACTCGCCCTGGGAGGCCACCCTGGGCACTGTGGCGCCTTGGCGCCCTGACTCCAGAGCGCCAGCCCCAGGACGGTCCTCCGAGCAGCCCGGCGGGCGTGGGGCAGGTGGGAGCAGCAGCCTGGGGAAGCTGAGGCTGCTGAGCAGGCGGATGAGGCCAGCTCCTCCTGCCCGGGGCTGGACCGTGGCCGTGCTGGGCCTGGTGTCCGCGACCTCTGGGTGACGTCTTCACAGACAGGACACGCAGAGCGTGACCTCCACGGGAGGCCCAGCCGTCTGTCTTCGTCCCTCGCTGCCGTAGCAAGCCTCAGGCAGCCGACTCTGCACAAGGCTCACTTCTCGCTCTTCCAGAGGAAGGCAGGACAGGACAGGGCCCGCGGCTCGCTGCTCTTCCACGAGGCTCTGCCCCATCCCAGGCAGTGGCCCTGGGATCCGGTCTGGGCCGTGAGTCCGCTGGACGCCCGTTCAGACTCGGCCAGGCCCTGCTGACTCTCGCCATCCTGAGGTGACTCTCTCCCACTGGCCCAACTGGGCCACCAGCTGCATAGGGAGTCTGTCACCCAGCACTGCAGGTGCGGTGGCCGTCCCATCCAGGGGCGGGAGGCTCCTGGCCGAATGACGTCACAGTGCAAGACGTGACCCGGGCTGGCCCGGGGGGAGGCTGCCTGGGAGCCCCTGTGGGGCGGGTGCTGGGGCGCAAGCCGGAGGCCGGGCACCAGGGGAGACGTGCTGGGGGCGGAGACCACCTGGGCTGGAGACGCCTGGGCAGCGGCCTGTGAAGAGGCCTTGAATGCCGCTAGCGTGGACGCCCTGGGCCCCAGACCTCTCCACACCTGCCACTCAGCACTGCCCGGGGCTGCACCGGGCTGCACTGGGCCGGGAGCCACAGCGGAGCCGCAGGAAGGCCCTGGACGGGGTCAGAGCCTGAGGCCTGCCCAGGCCTGCCCGGCTCACGCTGGCTGGAGGGCTCGCTGGGGCGGGGCTGACCGCCCAGGGGTCCAGGGCCCCTGAGCCTCCGGCAGGTCGTGCAGGGCCGGGGCCAGCGGGCGTGGGCCTGGCCGCCCTGGGCTTTAACACCTGGACCAGCGGCGGAGCAGCCAGGACAGGGAGTCACCCTGGCAAAGCACCAGTGTCACGGTTGGACTTGGGGACCTGGGACTCTCGGGCCGCCTCCTGAACATGTGTTGCCTTCATTATTTTCCAATGACCTTTGGTTTTATTTTGTGTTCCGAGACCCACCTTCTTTCTTACTTGGCGACCATGTGGCAGAGGGCTAGGTACCGTGTGATGTTCAGATCCACCCACGGAGGGTCCAGTCTCGGTGGCTGGCGCACACAGGACCTCATGTTTACCACTGGGTTGTGGTAAGAGCATTTAAAACCTTTTATTCAGCTATTTTGAAAATACGGCATGGTATCATTTGGGAGGGTGGGGATTGAACCCACAGACACTTCACCACTGAGCCACATCCCCAGCCCTTTTTATTTTTTATTTTGAGACAGGGTCTTGCTAAGTTGCTGGGGCCTCGCTAAATAGCTGAGGCTGGCCTTGAACTTGCGATCCTCCTGCCTCAGCCTCCCAAATAACTGGGATCACAGGCGGGCGCCACCAGGCCCAGCCAGCGCCATGATAACTACCCTCACCGCTGTGCCCACAGGGACCAGAACTTATCCTTCCCTCCTGGACTTCGCTCCTCCTGAGCAAACGTCTCCTTCCCTGCCCACCCAGCTCGGCCTCTGGAAACCACCAGGCGACTCTGCTCCTAAGAGACCAAGGCTGTGTTCAGCGCACAGCGTCACGTGCAGGTGGCTCCCTCTGCTCACCCTGGTGGCCTCAAGGTGCCCTGTTACCACCACAACAGAGTTTCCAGTTATTTACTTATTTGTGGTACTAGGGATTGAACCAGGGACACTTTACCACTGAGCTACACCTCCAGCTCCTTTTATGTTTTATTTTGAAACAGGGCCTTTCTGAGTTGCTGAGGCTGGCCTTGAACTTGTGATCCTCCTGCCTCAGCCTCCAAGTTGCTGGGATGACAAGTGCGAGCCCATCTACTCTTTCTTTTTAAAAGCTGAATCGCGTTCTGCTGTGGTCTGCACCACATTTTCAAGTCCGTTCCTCTGCACACGAACACAGGGTCATTCAGTAGGGGACAGGGACCCTCTGTGCTCCCTGCAGTTCTTCTGTGGTCCTTCAGCTAGAGCTGGTCACGGGAAAAATAAATAAAACTTCCAGTAAGTCTGTGTGTCCACGAGGTCTTCACAAGACAGGGAAGTCTGAAGGAGCGCCCCAGGTGGGGTCCTGCCCAGACCCAGAGCCGGGGTCTCAGGGGCCGAGCGCAGGGCTGGGCCTGGGCAGGAGCTGGGAAGGTCAGCTGGTCGCAGCCCTGAGGACTGGTCTCTGTGGCCGGGTCCTTTTCCAGCCGGCACTGGAGGACCACCTCCCGAGAGCAGCGGCACAGCCCGGGGCTGCAGGTGGCGAGGGCCTGGAGGTCCGGGCCTGGGCTCTCACTGAGCTGACCATCGGCCGTCGGGCACGGTTCTCTGCCCCCCCTTCTCTGACGAGGAAGCTAGTCTTTCCCCTAGGAGACCCTGGGTCACTGTGGGCCCAGCTGGGAACCCAAGGCCACCCCCACCTCTGTCACTGGGCGAAGTCCCCTAACCCTGGAGAACCGCATTCCCCATGTTCTGGTCAGGACGTGGCCATCCTCTGGGTGCCTCCTAAGGGCCGGCTGGTGCAGGGGGGCAGGAGCACCTCCACGCAGCGCTCTTCACGAGGAGGAGCACCCCACTGAGCGCTGGGCGGCCTGCGGGCTCTTCTTCCCTGTGGGAAGGTTTGGTCCACGTTGTCAGGTTGGTACCAGCAACACTGCCCCGTGGGCCCAGCCTTCTGTCCTGTAGACCCTGGCCTCCCCTCCTCTGCCCAGCCTGAGGGAGGAAGACCATCCCCTGGGGCTTCCACGGGCACCCCTCAGATCACTAGGGAGGAGGAGATGCTCATATTTATCTCACGATCGCCGTCTACTTCTGCTGGAGATGCTCACCGTCTTCATTGGATTGTTTGTTTTTTGGAGTTCTTTATATATGAAGGCATGATCTCGTTCTTATATGGGTTACGATGGATGTTTTTGGTATGTTGATTGCTTTTAAGTGACTCCTAGACAGGCTTATTTTTCTCAAGAATGAGAACACTTGTTTTCGTTTGTTTTAATAATCATGTCTGCCTTGAATTTTTCTGAAAACATTTTTGGCATAAGCCATAAGGCTAGACTCCAACTTAATATTGTGTAAGAAAATAAGAATTTCTGCCTACACTGCACTACAGCAGCCTCACGCTCTAGCATCTTGGCACAGGCACCGAATTCCTTAACAAGACCCTGAAAGTTCAAGAAATGAAACCGACAATCAATAGTGGGATGGCATCAGATTGGAAGGTTCTGCACCACAAGGGAAATAGTGAGGAGCCTGGGGAGGGCCTGGGGGGGGGGAACGGCTGCGCCAGCTCCCCCCGACCTGGGGAGGCTCAGAAAGTCCAGGCCCAAAGTAGGAGTGAGACTGACCCAATCAGCAGAGGAAGGGGCGAGTCCCTGCTCCAGGGGAGACACAGGGGCCCCAAAGTGTGACAGAGCGTCAACGTCTGCAGCAGTCGGGGACAGCGCCTCCAAACTTGAGGGGGCAGAATGGACCAGACGGACTTTCCCACGTCCAGGCGTGACCATGCGGCCAGCGTGGCCCACGCCCCGTGCACCCACACGGGAGGGAAGGTACACACCAGTGTGCGGGATGTCAGGATGCACTAGTGACGTGAGTGCCTGAAGGGACAGTAGGAAACGGCCTTCGGGTCACCTCACTCCAGTCAGAATGGCGACGGGGACGATACGAATGGCGAAGAATGTTGGCGAGGACGGGGGTGGGGGGACGGCCCCCTGTACCTTGTTGGTGGGCCACGCGCTCTGGAAAGCACCCAGGGACCAGACCCCCGTGACCCGTCCCACTTCTGAGTCCTGATCCAAAAGGTGGAAATCAGCACTGGACGGTGGTACAGCCACGGCAGGATGTCACAGCAGCACACCTCACAGCGGACAGGACGTGACCCGGGCAGGACGCCCAGCACCAACCGAAGAAGGGGTAGATAAAGTGTGCGTGCCTGCGTGCGCGTGTGTACACGTGTGTGTGCGTGTGTGCATGTGTGTACACGTGTGTACATGTGTGCGTGTGTACACATGTGTGTGCATGTGAGTGCGGGTGTGTGCGTGTGTGTGCATGAGTGTGTGCGTGTGTGCATGTGTGTACACGTGTGTACATGTGTGCGTGTGTACACATGTGTGTGCGTGTGTGTGCATGTGAGTGCGAGTGTGCGCATGTGCGTGTGCGGTTTTGCTCTGCCATTCAAGAAGAGAGGAGCCGCGTCTCTTGCTGGTGAGTGGAGGGACCTGGGCACCGTCCTGCTGGTGAAACAAGCCAGACTCAGAAGGTCCAGGCGAATGTCCCCGTCATCTGAGGAGGCTGGAGGGGAACCAGGGCGTCCTGCAGACGGGGAGGGGGCTGGGGGAGGGGGCAGGAGAGGGGAGGACGCAGAGTGGGTGTCCGGGCGCACATTCACGAGGCACGGGAGGCCAGCAGGGAGCGGAGGCCAGCAGGGAGGAGGTGGCACTGGGGACGGCGGTGCCTGTGCTGTCCTGTGAGCTCCGGGCCGCAGGCCCCTGTGGGGCACGGTCAGCGGGGGAGCGGGAGGCGCGCGGTCCTGCGGCCCTGGCTTGGGCCGTTGGGATTCTTAGCAAGATGAGGACATCGGGCTGGGGAGGGCGGGTCAGCCCGCTCCTGCTCGCCTCCTGTCCACTCCTCCCCGTCCTCCAGGGCTGTCCCGGGCTGTCTCCGTGGGCCTCTTTCTGACCATGACCCTTTCTGACAGCAGAACGGCGTTGGGTGGGGAGCATCTAGGACCTGGCCTGCCCAGCACGGGGCCCCGGGGACCCTGCCGCAGCCTCCGCCCACCTCACTGAGCGTGGCCAGCGCTGGCGTGAGCCCGGGGATGATGCACCCAGTCGGGCCCCACTGAGGGCAGAGGAGGGAACCAGGACTTGAGGTGAGTGGGCCTCGTCCAGTGACCGCTACCCGTGTTTTGTGCTCATGAAGCTGTGTCCTTGCTGGGGCTTCGCAGGAGGCCAGAACCAGCCCAGTCTCTGCAGCCTCGGGAGTCGGGCTGGAGAGGTGGCCACGTGTGCCCTCGCCGTTGGCTGGTCCACACCGTCCTTCCTGCCCTTCTCCGGAAAGGGCGAGCCCCTTCCTACGGAGTGCCCGGGCCAGCTGCAGGGCAGCAGCATGGGACACAGGGGACTCCCAAACCCAGCAGACGGGAGGTCCCCAGGCCACAGGAAACCCAGGGGGCTGACCAGCGGGGCAGGGGGGAGAGTGGTCACAACCCGGTGACACCTGCGTGTGCAAGCTCTGTGCACACTTGGTGTGTGTTTTGTATTTCGTATTAAAACTGTTATGGAAAATTTTCAAAATGTGAGCCACCTCTCACTTAGGAAGACAGTCCTGTGACACTCGGAAGGAAAAACAGGGTGAATAATGGCCTCGTGTCGGAGGGGCCTCTGCTGGGGGCTCTGGAGTGAGCCTCCGGCAGGACACAGGCTGGTGACTCACTCTGTGATCACCAGGAACATCAGCAGGTGGGGAGGCCAGATGACAGCCTCTGAGTCATCCGCAGAGCGGGCCTGGAGCTGGTTTGGAGACACGACATTTGTCATTTAAATGTCAAAGCCTTCGCTGGAATGCCGCGGGCAGACAGCAATTACCAGGCAGAGCGTGCCCGCCCACCTGCGCCAGGAGAGGTCCGTGGGAGCAGCCCAGGAAGTCACGCTGCCTCACGGAGCTCCGTCGTCCCGCCACCTGGGTCCTCCGCCGGCCCCGGGGTTGCGGAGGTGTTCCGTCCCTAACCAGCCGAGTGCGGGGACACAGGACTTTGTTAAGTTGCCGCGGGCCTCCCTAAGTTGCTGAGGCTGGCGTTGAACTTGCGATCCTCCTGCCTCAGCCTCCCCAGCGGCTGGGATGACAGGCGTGGGCCACCCTGTCCACCTCGGTGCTCGTGTCCTTAACGGCGTATTTTGGAAGGGAGATGTGTCCTTCGATGTTCCCAACTTGCTTTCTAAAATGGTGTCTGGAAAATGCTTGCCACTCCCACATCCTGAGGATGGTCCTCGGGAAGGCTCCACGGCCAGGTCTGCAGTGCGTCCTGTTTTAACCTGCGCCTCGTCCAGCGCCGCCCGCCGGGTGGCTGGCGCCCTCGGGGCTGGCTGCCTGCGTCCTCTGGGCCCTGGGCTGCCCTGCTGTCTCCAGGGCTGGCCCTGCCCAGCGGGTCTTAACCCAGTGGTAAGCCCCCGATTCTGTTCCTCTCTGTTCCAGTGGCTGTGTCCCTGGAGTCTGAGGGACGGTCACTTCCTACAGAAAACGGTGCTGGGTGTGACCTGGTGTGGAGGCCAGCGTGGGCAGAATGACCGGCCAGCAACCCATTCACGCCACATGAGCCCTAACTCGGGGCTCCCCCGGTCTCCGGTCCTACGGCCGTGGCCTTCAGTCAGGTCTGCCCTGGGGACCAGGTCACGCAGGTATCGGTGTGGCTGACCCTGGTTTCCTGATGGACCGTGGAGGGTCAGGTCCACACCGTGTTTGTCTCCCTCACAGACACGCGCAAGATCACGCGGGACCGTCTCAGTGCCATTGCCCTTCACCCGTGACGATGCTGTCAGGCGCGGACCTTGTGCAGGTGGGTCCCCTCCACTGGCAGACGTAGGAACCTGCTCGCTCCTTTCTCACGGTGGCCGAGCCTTCCAGAGCGCGAGGACACGGGATTGTTGAGTCGGTTGCCCTCCGAGGACAGTGGGACTCCTTTACGGCCTTGTCCCCGGGTCCCAGAAGGCTGCATGAAGTACCTTGTGCGCACTGTGGGCCACGGCAGGATCGTTCTGGAAGTGACGCCGTGGAGCCGATTCAGACCAGCTGTCATGCCCCTACATCTGTGATCAGCGCTGACCAGCCCCGGGGTTCAGGTCGGAGGCACAGTGGACCTGTGGAGAGGACCCCCGTCCTCTGGCCGTGACCAGTGCCCAGGCAGAAGCAGGGAGCTGGACAGGCTCAGACACCGAGGATGACCCCAGACCGGAGGGGCTGGGCAGGAGAGGGTGGCAGAGGCCTGCCTGGCTGCTGAGGGCATGGCTGCATCCCCAGCACCACAGGCAAAGGAAGGCGAGGGTGGAGGCCAAGGGGCGGAGGCCGGGAGGGGCCTCTCGAGGCAGAGGTCTCCCGCAAGTTGTTAAACTGCTTGTT